AAAGGCAGCACTGATACATGGCACTGATAGGCAGCACTGACTTGCACTGATAGGCAGCACTGACTTGCACTGTTTAGGCGGCACTGGCTGGCACTGATAGGTGGCACTGATAGGCACTGATAGGCGGCACTGATGCACACTGATAGGCAGCACTGACTGGCACTGATAGGCGGCACTGACTGGCACTGATAGGTGGCACTGATTGACATTGATAGGTGGCACTGACTGGCACTGATGGGTGGCACTGAAAGGCAGCTCAGATGGGCACTGATATGTGGCATTGATGTGTCACTGATGGGCACTGGCACAAGGCACTGATGGACACTGACAGGTGGCACTTCTGGGGCTACACTGATCATCAGGGCACACTGATCAGGACTAATGCTTCAAAATATCCATTTTTATATGTTTTGTTACACCTTTATACCTCCTGTTAGTCCCCGGTCACATAAATATGACTTCCAGTGAAGTCTCACGAATTCAAAGTTGGATGTCATTCAAGACTTTCAAGACACAGATGTCTATGCAAGTAACACCTGAAGTAGTGCATGCACTACTTTCAAAATGACCGCTTTAATTGCGATGATTTTAACCAATTCCCGCCCGGTCTATAGCCAGATGTTGGCTGGGCGAGAAGTTTGTCCCTCCGGGTGGACGCCATATGGCGTCCTTTCAGTCATGCACAGCTTGCCTTCCCGTAGAGCCACGCAGCGAGCGATCTGTCACCGGCCGTGTACCTCAGACACGGCCCATGACAGATCTGTGTACCGGCCCCGTTGCCAGTACCATGTGACCTGCTGTGACCAATCACAGCAGGTCACATGACAGTTGTATACAATGGATGGCTTCCTTTCATATCATCCATTGTATGCAACTGTGTCTAGCTGTGAATGGTCACAGCGATCACGTGCACAAGCTGGGCCAATCACAGCCCAGCTGTGTCATGTGATTAGCCGTGGCCAAATCACAGCTAAGCAAAAAAAAAAAAAAAAACCCTGAATGAATCGATTTCATTCAGGTAAATGCTTGCTTATAGCAAAGTAATTCTTTGCCATAAGCAAATAGTGTAAAAAAAAAAAAAATACTGATCACTTCCCCAAAGTAGTACAATGTTACTATGGTAACATTATACTACTTTGGTCATAGTGAAATATGAAAAAAAAAATCTTAAAAAAAAAGAAAAAAAAGTTCATAAAAAATAATAAAAAATTTATAAAAATTAAAAAAAATTATAAAAAATGTTTTTCGTACTGTCACCAGTCAGTGCCCCTGATCACCGCCATGCCAGTTATATGATGACCCTGTACTGCACTGGTGACAGAATGTAAAAAAAAAAATAGTGAAAATCATTTTTTTATTCCTTCATTTACAAAAAAATGACAAAAAAATACAACTTCAAAAAACTCGCCATGCCTCTTATGAAATACGTTGGACTGTCTGCTTTGCAAAAAGGGGTCATTTGGGGGATATCTGTACTGTTCTGATATTCTTGGACCTCAAGAAATTAGATTGGCTGTCAGTACTTCACGATTGATCAATTTTCAGATATATCCCATAGTTTGTGAACTCTATAACTTTCCTACAGACTAAATAATAAAATACTGATTTGGGTTATTTTCACCAAAGACATGTAGCATAATACATCTCGGCCTAAATGTATGGAGAACAATTATTTATTTGCAAAATTTTATAACAGAAACAAAGAAAAACGTGTTTTTTTTTTCAAAATTTTTTGACTTTTTCTGTTAATTTAGCAAAAAATAAAAAAACCCCAGCGGTAATTAAATACCACCAAAGGAAAGCTCTAGTTGTGTGAAGAAAATGATAAAATTTTAGTTTGGGTACAGTGTTGCATGAGCGCGCAATTGTCATTCGAAGTGTGAGAGCTCTGAAACCTGAAAATTGGCCTGGGCAGGAAGGGGGTAAAAGTGCCCGGTATGGAAGCGGTTAAACGCGCATCGCTTGGCAAGTCGCACCTGATATGGTTGGGCACTTACAGTGAAATTATTACATTTATCTGTTGGAAGTGTCTTTCACTTGTTTTAGGCTCCATTCACATCTGAGCATGGCGGTTTTGGGCATTTTTTTGCATCTATTGTTGCGCGTTTTTACGTTTTTGTAGCTGTTGACTTTTTTTTTTTTCAGGTGGAACTCCGCTTTAATATTTATTTATCTTTTTTTTTTGCATACATTTTTTTTCTCTATATGCCAGGAGTTAGAGAGATACAATGTATCTCTCTCCTCCATTCATAGAGAAAAGAAAAACACAAGGGGGGCGGGCTATACAGTGACTGATCACTGTGATAGCCAATCAGAGGCTATCACAGTGATCATGTGACCAGGAATCAGGAGCCCCGGGTCCCAATCGTTAGAACGGGACTCGGGGCTCTCAGTGACACCCTGGTCTTTGTGCTGGGAGCGCGCTGTGCGGTGCGCTCCCAGCAGAAAGACAGGTATGCAAATATGCAGCCCCACGGAAAAAAGCCCAGTTTTCTGAGGTTGGCGTCAAGGGGTTAAAGGGATGAGGTGGCATCTCTAACCGGCGTGCAGTCCATATTTTGTCCTTCCTTTCCCTATGCTAGACACACTGTCCCTGACCTAGCCACTTCACAAATGTGTGCCAACTACAGTGGGACTGTAGTGAAGAACAAAAGACAGAGCGCACCAGCCTTGCGCATTACCTCAGTAAACAGTTAATGGATTTATTGATTTAGGAGATATACTCACAAACATAGTAGTAAAACAAGCATGTAAAGTCCAAAGTTGAACCACACAATAAGGAGACACGTGCGTATCCCATCAGAAGGGGAGATTGTCAGAGTGACACTGACGTGTTTCAAAGGGAGGTCCCTTCTTCATCAGAGCTACTGATACGGTGGCATCACCCCTAAAGCAGACGTGTCATTACACGAAACGCGTCTAGGAGGAGCCCTTGAACGCCTTGACGTCACGCTGCTGGATCAGGAGGTCCAGCGGCCACCCTATGTTTTCCACTGGTTAGTGTATTCAACACTGACGTGTTTCAAAGGGAGGTCCCTTCTTCATCAGAGCTACTGATACGGTGGCATCACCCCTACAGCAAACGTGTCATTACACGAAACGCGTCTAGGAGGAGCCCTTGAACGCCTTGACGTCACGCTGCTGGATCAGGAGGTCCAGCGGCCACCCTATGTTTTCCACTGGTTAATGTATTCAACACTGACGTGTTTCAAAGGGAGGTCCCTTCTTCATCAGAGCTACTGATACGGTGGCATCACCCCTACAGCAGACGTGTCATTACACGAAACGCGTCTAGGAGGAGCCCTTGCACGCCTTGACGTCACGCTGCCGGATAAGGAGGTCCGGCGGCCACCCTATGTTTTCCACTGGTTAGTGTATTCAAGAGCTCATGACTATTACTCACAATCACCCTGTGGGTTTATGCTCATTTTGTTGTTCTATTAATTTTTATCTAAATAAATCTTTACATTACTACACTATGAGCACCTTTATCTTTTACTACTTGGCACTGAGCCTTCACACCTCAGCCCAGTATTCCAGGTAACTGCCCAGGCTGGAGGAATTAGAGTATCGGACCAGACCATCATCCCTGGCACCTGTCACCTGAACAACCACCAGAGGATACTCCCACCACCAGGCTGTATCTCCACAGGACCTCCGGCTACATGAGATTTTTAAACGCGCATTAAGATTGCGCTTCCGGTGAGTGGGCAATCTTTCTACACCTCCATGTCGGGATACTGGAATATACTCGTTTGGATTGAAGTCATATTTATTATCTTGGACTGTTTACCATTCAGTTTACAGGACTCTTTTATGTAGGATTTCTATCTGGCTAACTGTATATATTATATCTATTAGTATAGCGCTGCACTCCCAATTTTATGTTATATTTTAGAAAGGCTTTGTGGTTCCTTTTTAGTGCATTAGCGGCTTCATACAGTGCGCTAGCAAGCTCACACACTCAGAGCTAATGATACAGTGGGACTGTGCTACTTACTGGCACTGTCCACACTAAAGATGGCTGCCAAGGTTACCCAGGGGAGCACAGGGGTGGACTGACAACTCATGGGGCACCCGAGCAATAGGAAATCATGGGGCCCCTTTGTCCTTGCCCACACTCAAACCACACCCAAAAAAGTCTATGAAAGGTACCAGGGGCATCTCATGGGTCCCCCTACTGACCCCAGGCCCTCGGGCAGTGCCCGGTGCCCAAATGGTCAGTCCGCCCCTGGGGGAGCAGCATCCAATCAGACAGCTACTCTTCTTTTTGTTTTTTTTATAATTAACATTTTATTAAAAGATTATAGAAGAAAGTTACATACACCGTATACATAGCTCTCATTTCGCATTTTGGAGGACACAGAATTATAAAGGGCAAAGCAACAAAAAGATTAAATAAGTCAATACATCAATACAAAAAGGGGTACACAAGCATATATCAGCCACATAACTGACTAAGTGACCTCTAATGACCCACCAATTTGAAGTTCTCATAACCCAACATTTGAAGTGTGCTAATATATGAGGGTCAAAGCAACTCAAACAGTAGACCCTAAGAGGCCTAAAAACAAAGTATCCGGTGATATAAGGATAAAAGAGAACCAAGATATAAAAGAAACAGGAGGAAAAGAGAGAGAGAAAAAAAAAAGAGAGACTCATAATATAATAGGAAATACCAGACAGCTGCTCTTCTAATGACACCTACAGAGGCCTCAGAGGAACAAGAGTTCCTGCTGTCCTCCACTCTCTGCATGGTGTGTGCCGTAACAGTGCCACCTGTGCAGGGAAGTTGAACTGCACCTGCCTACATCCTTATTTGAGAGCTTTCCCATCACTTGCTGACTGTAAAGCTCCCCAACAGGGACCCAGGAAGCAAAAGAGTTCTGAAAGAAACATAATGGTCTACACAAGTGTGTGTTGGCAGCAATGACCATCACTCCAGTACCTGTGAGTTCAGCCTAACCTGAAGACCATTCTTGGCACACCCCTAGAACATTTTACATTTTACATCTGTTTACTTGGATACAGCAGTAATGTAACACTGAAAACCTGATATAGTGAATGCAGGGTCCAGGGAGAGCAGATATAGTGAATGCAAGGTCCGGGGAGACTAGATATAGTAAATGGGAGACCAGAGATAGTGAATGCAGGGTCCTGGGAGACCGAATTTAGTGAAGGCAGGGTCCGGGGAGACCAGATATAGTGAATGCAGGGTCCGGGGAAACCAGATGTAGTGAATGCAGGGTCCAGGGAAACCAGATATAGTGAATGCAGGGTCCGGGGAGACCGAATATAGTGAATGCAGGGTCCGGGGGAGACCGAATATAGTGAAGGCAGGGACCGGGGAGACCGAATATAGTGAAGGCAGGGTCTAGGGAGACCAGATATAGTGAATGCAGGGTCCGGAGAGAGCAGATATAGTGAATGCAGGGTCCGGGGAGACCAGATATAGTGAATGCAGGGTCCGGGGAGACCAGATATAGTGAATGCAGGGTCCGGGGAGACCGAATATAGTGAATTGCTCCTGCAGGGAAAAAAATTCTTCCTGATCCCCTCGAGAGGCAATTGGATTATTATTATTATTATTATACAGTATTTATAAAGCGCCAATAGTTCGCTCAGCGCTGTACATTACAAAGGGGGACAGAACATGTGACAGAACAATACCAATACAATGCAAAACATGAGGGGATTGAGGGCCCTGCTCTTTCAAGCTTACAATCTAGGAGGGAGGGATGGTGGCACAGGAGGAGATAGTTGTGGGGGATGGAGTGGTAGGAAGAGTGGAGGAGGTCGGCAAGTTAGCAGGGGGCGGGGTAGGCTTCCCTGAAGAGATGGGTTTTCAGGGTGCGCCTAAAGGAGAGGAGAGTAGGTGATAATCTGATGGGTTGGGGCAGGGAGTTCCAGAGGATGGGTGACACCCTGGAGAAGTCCTGGAGGCGGGCATGGGAGGAGGAGACCAGGGAACTAGAGAGAAGGAGGTCTTGTGAGGAGCGGAGTGTGCGTGCTGGGCGGTACTTGGATATTAGGTCAGTGATGTAGTTCGGGGCAGTATGGTGGACAGCTTTGTACGTCAGCGTTAGGATTTTGAATTTGATCCGTTGCGCAATCGGAAGCCAGTGGAGGATTGGCAGAGGGGGGTGGCGGAAACGGAGCGGTTGGAAAGGTGAATGAGTCTGGCAGCCGTATTCAGGATGGACTGAAGCGGGGATAGCCAGCGGCGAGGCAGGCCAGTGAGGAGGGAGTTGCAGTAGTCGAGTCGCGATATGATGAGGGAGTGGATGAGCTGTTTAGTGGTTTCTGGAGTTAGGAACGTGCGGATTTTGGCGATGTTGCGGAGGTGGAGTCTGCACGAGTTTGTTAAAGAGTGGACTTGGGGCTGGAAGGATAGGTTGGAGTCCAAAATGACACCAAGTACTCTGGCCTGCGGGGCGGGTTTGATGGTGGCGTTGTTGGACATGATGGAGAAGTCAATGGGGGTGGTGTCCGGGCTGGAGGGAAGACAAGAAACTCGGTTTTGGAGAGGTTCAGTTTAAGGAAGTGGAGCGACATCCAGTCTGATATGTCGCTCAACAGGTGTGTGATTCGGGCGGAGACCGAGGGGGTGAGGTTGGGGGTTGAGAGATAGATTTGTGTGTCGTCGGCATAGAGGTGGTAGTTGAAGCCGTGAGAGTGTATGAGTCGGCCAAGGGAGGAGGTGTAGATGGAGAAGAGAAGGGGCCCGAGGACAGAGCCTTGAGGGACCCCAACAGAGAGGGGGAGTGAGAGGGAGGTGGTGGCATTATAGGTAACGCTGAAAGAGCGTTGTGACAGGTAGGATGAGAGCCAGGAGAGAGCAGAATCTCTGAGGCCGAGGGAGTGTAGTTTTTTGAGGAGGAGGGGGTGGTCGACTGTGTCAAAGGCCGCAGAGAGGTCAAGGAGTAGGAGCACTGAAAAGTGGCCATTAGCTTTGGCGGTTAGCAGGTCGTTGGAGAGTTTGAGTAAGGCAGTTTTGGTGGAGTGTAGGGGACGGAAGCCGGACTGTAGGGGATCGAGGAGGTTGTTGTCGTTGAGGTGAGAGCATAGGCGGGCGTAGACTAGGCGCTCGAGGAGTTTAGATGTAAATGGGAGCAGAGAGATGGGTCTGAGGTTGTTCGGGTCATTGGGGTCCAGGGAGGGCTTTTTAAGTATGGGGGTGATGTGTGCATGTTTCAGAGGGGAAGGGAAAGTGCCGGAGGAGAGGGAGAGATTGAAGATGTGGGTGAGGGAGCGTAGGATGGAGGGGGAGGGAGGTTGTAGGAGTTGTGTGGGGATAGGGTCAAGGGGGCAGGTGGTGAGGCGGGCATCAGAGAGGATCTTGGAGACTTCTTTGATGGTAGTAAGGTCAAAGGTGCGGAGTGTTGGGGGAGCTTCAGTATGAGGAATAGGGTGGGGTGGGGGAGAGGAGGTCAGAGCAGTGGTGGGGCCGTGGGAGAGGGGTGTAGAGGGGGTAGCTGAGTGAGGGGGAAGGGGGGTTGGAGGGAGTTTGAGCAGCGACGAAGTCCCTGTGGGTTATGTCGAGGGGGAGGGGGGATGAGGGGGTAGCTGTGTGAGAGGGGACGGGTTGAGAAGGCGTGTGAGTTGCGGCAATGTCCTTGCGAATTGTGTCAATCTTGTTTTTGAAGTGATCGGCAATCTCAAGGGCAGTGAGTGAGGTGCTGGGTGGAGGTGGGGGGTGGCGAGAGTAGAGAGTTGAAGGTGGAGAAGAGTTGGCGAGGATTGGAGGAGAGGGCCTTGATGAGGGTCAGGAAGTAGGCTTGTTTGGCAGTATGGAGGGAGGAGGTGTAGGTGTGGAAGGCAGATTTGTATCGGGTGAAGGCTTGTTGGGATTTGGTTTTGCGCCATAGTCGCTCCAGGGCACGACTGTGTCGTTTGAGGGTTTTGGTGGTGTGATCAGTCTGCCAGGGCTGGAGCGGTCGGGGTCTGATGTTGCGTGTGGTTAAAGGCGCTAGTGAGTCAAGGGCTGTTGACAGCGCATTGTTGTAGGCGGTCATAGCCAAGTCGGGGCAGGACAGGGGGAGGATGCGGTCATGGAGTTGATCAACTGCGGAGTGGATCCTGGATCAACTTTACCTATAAATGTTATATCCAGTTTATATTCTGTGTATCCAGGAAAGAATCCAGGACTTTTCTCAAGAAGTAAATTATGGGAATTTCCAATGCTTATTCCATGCTTCCTTATTATACCCAACTTTACAATGCATATAGTAATAATGTCTGTAAATTATTAATAGAAGGAAGAATTTCAGACTTTGCTCCCAAAATCTATAGGACTATAATGCAGTGCTCTAAAGATTCTAAAATAGAAATTTAGAACTTTTCTGATATTCTGACTAACTTTATTATGCAACAAACTTACATACTGTATATACAGTAGTTTGAATATTATAAACATTTTTTATTTGCCTTGAATGAATACCCTTTCTATATACACTCACCGCTTTATTAGGTCCACCTTTGCTAGTTCCGGGTTGGACCCCCCATTTGCCTTCAGAACTACCTTCATTCTTCGTGGCATAGATTCAACGATGTTTTGGAAACATTCCTCAGAGATTTTGGTCCATATTGACATGAGTTACTATTACCTGTCTATCATCTCGAACCAGTCTGCCCCATTCTCCTCTGACCTTTGACATCAACAAGGCATTTACGTCCACGCAACTGCCATTCTGTCAGGAATGGACTTGCCAATAGTGGTGGGACTCACCTGCCTTGTGGGCTGCAGTACCAGGGGCTGGCCAGCGGGTGCTCTCAACAACCAGAGGTTCACTTCGGCAATTAGCCATCACCTGGGGGGCTGATTGCAGGTGGTGTATTTAAGGGATGGCCAGACCTGCAGTCTGTGCCTTGGTGTGTGTTTTTCCATGGGCCCCTGTATCTTGTAACCTGCATTCCTGTTCCTGTTTCTACCTGACTTGTTGCCGACCCTGCCTGATCCTGACCTCTGCTAACTTCTCCTGTTTGATCCCTGGCTTGTGACCCTGACTACTCTCCGCCTGCTCCTCCTGTACCTACCTGCCCGATAGTTATCGACCCGCCTGCCTGACTACGTTGTGCTCTATATGTGTATGTACCTGTGTATCTTTATCAGTTTAGGTTTGGGTTTGTTTCACCTTGTTGTATGTATTTGTGTCAGCTTGGGGTTTGGTGCACTGCATTTACATTTGTATTGTTAGTCTTAATAAATTGTCTTATTTATACCATACCTGAAGCCTACATTTCCCTGTGTCAGTCCACACACTTCTCTGGTCACACCCGCATCTCTGACACATTCACTGGATATTTTTCTCTTTTTCGGACCATCTTCTGAGATGGTTGTGCTATATATTTGTTTATATATTTGTAACACTTATTTTGATTATTGTTATATACACTATTGCTGTGACATTATTGTATGATAGCACTACTATACCAAATTGTTCCCTGAGGAAGGAACTTCATTCTGAAACATGTTGGGAATTATGGGAAGAATACACCACTGCAATCAAGACGCGTATCTATATTGGTGTATCTGTAATCCATATGGGTATATGTTGGTCAATCAAGTTGGTGTATCACGTTTTGTTGCTGTATTTTTATCAACTTTTACTGGCCATGTGGCTATTATTATGAATAAAGATTGACAATTGGTCTTTTAATATGTTGTATGCTTTATGCCTCCCTGTCTTTAAAGTCCCATGGGGTTCTCCCTAACTTATAGGTCTTGATTTTGTATCACTAATAGGGATGTTGGCAGTTTATTACTTGTTTAGCAAAGTCAGGCTCACTCTCATCTTTTAAAAAGTAATATAACCATTGTTTTTTTTTATAAATGTCAGTGGGCTCCAATCACAAAAGAATCTCGCATTCGGTATTTAGGTGCCCAGACACATTTTGTTCTAATATTGCATGCAATCCTGAAACTCTCAATTCACTATACCATTTTGCTGTATGTACAGGAAAACGCTGAAAACACTCAGTAAATACCGCATGAACAGGTGTTAACCTCTTGCTGTCCGCCTGCTGTTTATAAACGGCAGGGCGGTGGCAGTCCAGGGGCGGGTTGCCGTTCATAAACGGCACCCGCCTTTTCTAGCTGTGCGCGCTCCCTGGGAGCGCGCACCACACCGGTTTCGGTGCCCCGCTGTGTCCTCCGGACACAGTGAAACACCGATCCGTCGGACGGGACCTCTGTACGAGGTCCCAATCATGTGATCACTGATTGGCGAATCAGTGATCACATGCAAAGTAGTAAGCAAGATGTCACTTGTGACATCATTGCTTACTACGTGTGAAATCTGTGATTGATCACAGAGGTCACATGGTACAAGGCTATTCACAACAGCCTTGTACCATGTGACAAGCTGTGACCACTCACAGCTCACTCAGTAATTCTCAATGACTGCAAGAATGCAGACAGAGAGAAAGAGAAATGATTGCTTTTACATCCTATATGGCTATATCAGTGTAAAAAAAAAAAAAAAAATCTTCATCACCCCCCACAA